TTGTTCGCATTGGATGCCACATTCAATGTACCTATCTAGTCGGGTGTGAAATTACATTCATGAACATACTTATTTCTTATTTGTGTATTTGATTCCATTTTTTATAATATATTTGAATGTTTCACGTCGCTCTAAGCTGATCTCGACTCGACATAAAATTTAAGATATTTGGGGATTAACGGATGACAGCTGCCCGCTACTTGCTACTATAATATTACCTCCTTTGGAAAGGTGACCGACTTGCATATTAAAAAATACTTATACACTTGTATGAAATATGATAAAATACTTATGTACTTGTAAATTAAAATATATTTGAAATAAATATGGAATAAAATATTTCATGAAGATTTTTGACTTGTTCATAAATCCTTACTTGGGTTCTATTTGAATTAATTTAAAGTCGGGATGAAGGTAGATTGAGTCTAGCCCTATGGCTTAGTATGTAGTTTTTTTTAAGTTTATCCTCTCTCATTGTGAACTGATGTTGATTTTAACGGACGAATTTGCATATTTCCAAAATATAAATCGATGGCAGTGTTAGTATGTTGTGTTCTCTAAAGTATGGTCTCTATCGGTGTCCTCTATATTGACCAGGATCCTAATATTTTTTTTAGGTGTGAATAGTGTCTGAGCATCTGTGCTGTTACCCCATAATATGATACCGAAACTAACCCAGGCATAAGCGTATGCGTGATAACTGGTGAGAGCTGTTTAAAGGACGGTGGTCTTTTTAACTTCGCGGCAAGCATATGTGAATGAATTTTGAGATTTTAGATCTTAATTTCCTAAAAAAGATATTTCCAATTTATTTCTGTATCAATTGACAGGCCTAGAAGGGTAAATTCAAGGATAACTTCTATTTTTGAACCATTATATGTACAGTCTGTATCTAATGGGGATTTTTGATAAGGGTGGAAACACATAATTTTAGTTTTGGAAAAAAATATTTCGTGTTTATGGTTTCTCATCCAAGTTGCTGTTTTGTTTAGCAAGATGTCGTCTGCAAACAATACCAAAGGTCAATCTACGTCTTTTTGGAGGTCATTAATATATATAAAAGAAAAAACAGGCAACCGATTAACAATGCCTGGTATTGAAACATTAATAATTTTTTGCTTGAACGGATATTTTTAATTTCAGATGTATTATAATTGAATAATTCTATTTCTACTTGATGTTCTATATCTCTGAGGTATGATATAAACCAGTCATGAACCTTACCCCCCGGTAAGGTTCATGACTGGTTTCCTATCCTATCCTATCCCGTGTAGTTTTTGTAGGAGCACTTTATATTGCACTTTATCGTAGGCTTTGGTCATGTCTAACAGGATACCGATTGCATAGTTTTTATTATTATGTTAAGGGCTTCTTTGATAAATTTATAGGTTGCTAGGACTGTAGATCGGCGCTTTCGAAAACCGTTGTGGCAGTCATCAAATATTTCATACTTTTCACAAAATGTGTAGACATAGTCACACATGGCTTTTTCAAATATCTTCGAGGCAATAGGTATATTAAGTAATATTAGATAGTTACTTGAAAAAGCTCATTTAAAAAGCCTATATATATATAAATACTAGCTGACCCGGCAAACGTTGCTTTGCTTTGATTTCTTTGTTTTGATTTCTTGGAGAATTTTGAAAAAAAATTATTTAGGGATGGGTCACCCTTGTCATTAAGGGATATGAAAAATAGATGTTGGCCGATTCTCGGACCTACCCGATGTGCACGCAAAATTTCATAAAATTCGGGCCAGCCGTTTCGGAGGAGTATGGTAACTAACATTGTGACACGTGAATTTTTTATATAAGATATTCAGTTTTATCGCTCCAACGATTTCATGAAATTTAGTATGCAGGGGGTTTTGATCTAGCTAGGTTTCATTTTAAGAAAATTTACCAAAAAAAAACGAGCAAAGCTCGGTCATCCAGGTACTTTTTGTAAGTAGTAGAATTGTGTGTGGCTCTACATGCTGAAAAGAAATTTAAAAAAAATCGAATGCTTAGTCGGAAAAACACCTCAACTAAGTTGCCTCAAATAGTCGAAATGGTGGGCAATTCGAACGTATCAAATAAGTACATATTACGTGATCGCGTTAATTGAAACAAACCTTAAATAAACGCGAAAGTTTGTTGTCAATATGTGGAAGTAGTGAGACATTCTAAAAAACAGCGTGAGGGGTCTATGGACGCCCGATCGGAACGAAGTTCCTTTCGCTTTGTAATATTATATCTAGTATACTATATCATAATTTCACAAAGAATTTTACACATTTTTTTAATAATATAAATAATTCAGTGTATTTTTTAGGGTAGGTAGGTTGTAAGTTTTTTAGGTAGGGAGATTTTGCTTGTTTTTTTTTTTAGGCCGGTTCATTATTTTTTTACAAAATTGCTTATTTTTCCATTTTAGGTGTTAATAATCAATAAAAAAGGTTGCAATACTTCATAAAAGTCGCGATAGGTAGGAAGATGAGCACCTTCAAATGTTATTCCTGCTGATGCGAATAACTGTGGTGGTTTGATGCACGTATTGGACGAAACTGGGTTGGGCCCCAGAGTTATGTTAGGACGCAACATTTCTGTTACCTAAGGGCCTGGTCTAAAAATCTGGATAAAATAGAATCAGGCGAGTTACCCGATTCAGTTTTTATAAAATACTTGCTATACCCTGCCACGCTTCGCTGGGGCACATTGTGGTAGAAAAAAATAGATAAAACCATCTTTAAGGCTTGTTGTATATGGTGTCAAAGTTTGAACTCAATCGGTGCAGAACTTTTGAGTTTTTGAAGCGTTCACAAAACAACCTAACATTTTTATATACTACACACTTCTCCCAGCGATGCTCCCAAAACACAATCGGTGCAGAACTTTTGAGTTTTTGAAGCGTACACAAAACAACCTAACATTTTTATATACTACACACTTCTCCCAGCGATGCTCCCGTCTCTGTAACCCGTTTCTCTGCAAACTAATTGTTCACGAAGGTGATTGCCCCTTTCATTTGACGAAAATGTCTGTCCTCCGAGCGCAATTTTTAGATGAGGGAACAAGAAGAAGTCGCTTTGGGCTAGATCTGGTGAGTAACGTGGCAAACCGTAATTCGTGGATTTTCGCCATGACAGCCGCTGAGGTGTGAAACAGAATTTTCTTTTTCTGCAAATGTGGCCGTTTTCCGCAAGTTCTGCTTTCAGCTTGTCAAGTAATGATGCGTAGTTTGCTCCTGTGATGGTTTTTCCTTTTTGGAGATAATCGATTAAAATAACTTCATGACTATCCCAAAAACAGTCGCCATCACTTTCCTAGCCGAAAAAACAGTTTTTGCCTTTGTTGGAGTCGGTTCCCCCTTTGCAGTCCACTGTTTGGACTGTACTTTTGTTTCGGGCATATAATGGTGCGTCCAAGTTTCATCTACAGTAATTAATCGGCGCTAAAACTCGGATTTATTGCGCCTTAACTGCGCCAACAGAACGTTGGAAATGTTCATTCGAACACGTTTTTGGTCTAACGTGAGGAAACGCGAGGAACGCGCGGTCAGCTTTCTCATGTCTAAATGTTGATTTAAAATGTGACAAACACTTTCTTTTGACATATGCATAACCTCTGCTATATCTCTCACTTTAATTGCGCGGTCGTCTAGCAGCATTTGGTAAACTTTGGCGATGTTTTCGTTGGTAGTTGCAGGTTTTGGACGTCCCGAACGGTCATCGTCTCTCTACGGCCACGTTTAAATTCAGCTGCAAAAATTTCACTGTGGTGCAGAGTCCATATACACAGAATCCAACTCATCTATGATTTGCGTAGGTGTATTGTCTATCAAAAACAAATATTTAATGACAGCTCGATACTCGAATTTGACCATTTTCATAGAAACATTTACATCAACTTACTCAAACGACTGCTACATAACAACTGCGCGTCAAAAATGGCTGAAACTTTGGCAAGTAACTTCAGATGAACAATGAAGTTCACTAGCTTTTATTCACGAGTGCTGCCATCTTCGTGTTGAGGTCGGAAATATATGTAGATGACGTCTCTATTGTGACAAAATCAAAAGCGCCTGTATCAATGTTGTTGTTGACACAGGCGCTATGGCAACTAACCCCGTTTAACATCTGCGTGGCTTTTAGTTGCCTGATAAACCTATCAGGCCGGGTGGCAGCGGCAGGCAGGATCAGAGCGGACCTATAAATATTGCATATAAAGATGTTCTATGGTATAGTCCTATCATAATAATAGTATAATTCATTACTCCACACTGACACCACATTAGTAGTATTAGTAGCATCTACATTGCACACGTGCGAAGCCGGGGCAAATCGCTAGTAATTATACCGCTCCGTTCCTGCCGGCCGTTGCCACCTGGGACAGACGCACGTCCCGACGCGCATTTTAAACCACTAATATCTTCTAAAATATTAATTATAATGATATACTGTAAAGGGCAATTTTAATCTACATTAAATGCAAAATGTATCTAAGGTATTTAAATGGATAAGGAATAATAATGTATTTTTTAAAATAGCTTCGTAAATAAGCCATTTTTTTTTTGTAAAATTTAAAAGAAAAATGTTTACTGCGGTTTATCCTTAGGAGAGAGACATATACCATCGCAGACTTTCTTGTAGATCTTTTTAAGATATACAATTCCATAGTACATTATTTTGGTCTATCTCGTAAGGTTTAGCCACCGTTTGCAATGTAAGGGCACAAAAACATGTTTTTATCACAAATCTTTGAAATTCTCGAATTTTCTCTAATATAATATGCATGTATTGTACATATAAAGCTTATTCTTAAATCTCTCTATTGATGACCGCATTAAAATCCATTGCTTAGTTTAAAAGATCTAAGCAAGTGCGTGCGTACTAGAAAAAAGTGTCAGAAAAGAGTCTTGTTCCACTATTTTTCAGTCTAGCCCCCACCAGCTCAGAACATGTAACGCGCGCAATCGTTTAAATATCAGTAATCTGGCAATATAGGTATGGGTAAACTTACTGGTAATTGGTCTCTAGTGGGATGTTCCCGATAGCGACATTTTCGTGGCCACTGGCGGTAGTTCTCACCCAGTAGTAAGTGAGTGACTCTCCCGCCAAGGGTTCCAGTGCAAATCGACACTGCATCGTGACGTCCTCGCCTTCTCGCGCATCATGTTGCTCGTCATCGCCGCGAACCACACACCCAACTGTAAAAAAAAAGAAACAGTTAGTACGTCTTGAAATGAAGGTGACTGTTTTATTTTCCCTTGATCGGTAAAACTGCTGATTATTTTTATTTTTAAAGCACGACGACGTTTAAATATATTTACTAGGATTATTTACTAGACTTTCGTCCTACCTCAAGCCTTTTCCCTAACTAGGTAGGGGTCGGCTTTAAGCCTACTACGATACAGCTGAACTTTGATTTCGATGTCACTTAGCCATTATTTAATAGACTCATTCTTAGCCATATGGCTAGAAGGTGGAAATCCTCACTCACACAGTCTATCCACCTTTTTTTTGGTCTTTCTCTTCTCTTGTACCCTTCAACTCCCATACTTAACAGTTTCTTCGCCACATTTTCCTTATCCCTCCGCATCCATCCACTATTTACTAGACTATGAGAATGAAAATCTAAAAACAAATGACATACCAACGGCATCAGCTACGGCGTTGCTGTATTAGTTCACTGTGTTTTTATTGATGTGAAATAGTAATGAGCTTAATTATAATTATTTTAATTAATATGAACCAACAAATTGTTATTATTACCACTTTCATATTCTACTAAATCAATATTACCATTATTAGTCGCACGAAAGATAGGTAAAGAGAAGAGCAAAAATAAAACGTTCAGTTCTACGTGTTATGTCTTGCGAAAGTTGTATAACCAAGTAACTTGCACCTATAAATGCTCCAGACTCCACGCATTTCTAAGAGAGTCTTAGCAAATAGACAGATGAGCGGCAAAGTAATCTTAAAAGGTTCTTTTTTTGCGGAGTGGAATCCTAAAAAGGACGTATTATCATTCACATTTGGTATACTTTCACATCGAAGAAGTGTAGAAAACTTTTTAAAACAATATGCGTGCTTAACATATTGTATATAAAAATTACATGAAAGGGACTACATTGAGGCATATATCAGTGGCAATGAACAAGAAACAATATAGGTATGATTTATGGTGCAAGTCCGACCGCCAGGTGACCTCTACTACATACAAATAGGTCCTTTTATAATATTTACTAGCTGGTACTCGCAACTTTGTTCGCGTTTAATTTAAAAAGCGCTGCCTTTGTGGTGTAGTTACGGTACGCGACTGCATTCCTAGACCGGGCAAAATTTTATAGGATTTTTCTAATAATCGTATAGGTAAATGAGATGTATAAAAATGTAGATCAAAATCAGAGCTGAAAACGTTAAGAAAATAGAGCTTCAATACGGTATAGGCACTTCAAAGTTGGTCGGAATAAATAAAGAATTTATTATTAAAATCAGATTACCCGGGGTTGGTTTGAAAACATCCTTCATTCCAATAAGTAAGTAAGTGCGAGCAAACTACACTACGCTCACTCTATTAGTTACGCAATTTATTTTTGTGTAAACTAGACACAATGGAATAAGTTTTTATTTTCATTATCTTTATTATTCTATTTCTATCTTTCTATGTCTTTTACCGAGTGAAGCCAGGGCCATAGGCCAGGAATTATAGCTGAGCTGAGGAATTAGAACTTGGCTATAATCAATAAGTAGTGAAACTTTAATTCACAAATTCTATAATGATAAAACTATGACAAGGACAATTGCTAAAGTTATTTAATTAAATGCTAAATATGTAGATCCAGCCCCATACCGTCGTGGGTCATTGTTCTCTTAATAAAATCATTAAAACTGTTACCAATACTTATAGGTATCTCTTCTAAATACTATTTCAAATTATGTATCTTGCAAATTTTATTTAAACTGTCTTACAGACTCATAATATACTTTTCTTCTATGATATACAATAGTTTTGATTAGCCCGTTCTGTCGAAATCCAAATCCCTTCTGAGTACACCAACACAAGTCTGAGTATTTCAAAATCGTATAGACAAGAAAGTCTGCTTTTGTGTTGCAAATTCTTACTATTCATGTAATTGTTATATCAACGCAGTGTCAGCTACTTCTATTAAATAATGTCTAAGTGTGAAACCTTAAGTATTGATTTAAGCACCATCTCAGCATATAATCTGTCCCTAAATACAGTTCGTCATAATCGTAGAATAGTGTCGGATCTGACATTTATTGAACTTTACAGGGCAGCCATTTCAAATAATTATGTTATTTTTTAACATAACTTTTTTAATTTTAAATCGTTAATTATGAAAATTGGCACACAAGTGAAAATTGTTTTAAAATACAATAAAAATAACAACTAATAGTTATACAATTTTCTAGAAAAATCACATGCTTTATTCTACTTTTAACGCCTATCAAACAAACACTGAATAATTTAAAATACATATAATTTTTCTTGAATGTAGTAATAATATTTAGAAAATGTACGAGTATTATCGAAATATGGTAAAAACTTAATTTCGTATTTTTTTCAAATCCGACATTATTCTACGATCATGACGAGTTTAGTTTTCTTATTTGTATTTTTGTTTCTTATAGAGTAATTATTATTTTGTCTTTGTGCGGTTTTAAGGTACAAATATGCCAACTATTATTTTTTTTTCATGACAAAATTCTTAATTTAATATGGTTATATGATTTATTACGACACACTCATTTGTTATGGACAGATTGTCACGTATTGCCTAGAACTAAATTTTTCAATGAACCAATTACGTGTAATTGCTGAATTCAATGAAGAGATTTTTTTATTCACGTCCTACTTGCAAGGCAAACAGTCATTGTTGTCTTATATTTTAATAACATATTTAAATTTTTATCATGTCTAGACAATATTATTTCAGAGGGGGGCCTCCGTTCGTGTACCGAACGAAAAGAGGTTTGTATTAAATCGCGAATGCTATTTCTTCTCCTCTCTGTTAATCAGAGCAGAAACCGACCAGCCCAAAATGGGTTTGGGACTCCGCTGAAACGAAAGAACATTATACATTATATACACACATATAAAATAGTCAGTACACTCTCGTTAACTATCGTATATCTCATATGGGCTATTATAGAACATAAAAATATTTTTTTGCAACTTATTGAAACAATTACTGATAAAGCTTTGACTTTGTTCAGCTTGACTAAGCTGACTCATGATGTGTTATTTTGTTGTATAATATATGAATATATATATATTAAAGTTCTTAATTAAAAATCTAGTACCTGCAGTTAAATAAAAAACTAAGTAATTTTTTAACGTACATAATTAATAATAAGGCTCCGTCGATGTAGAAATTCATTTTAAGAGATCTCAAGATTACCCCCCCTGTAGCACACCCGTTGTATGCCATCAAGTCAAGAGGTTCACATGCATATTTTAAAAGCAGAAGTTGCGTACAATGTATTAAGAAAAGGATCTTATGCATTACTGACAATTACACATTAGATTATAGTTTAAATTCAAGGTCATTGGTATGTATATTACAAGAATCAATCTAATTTCGTTTCCTCATTTCTTTCTAAGAAAGCGTGTCATTACTCATCTCATGCCATGATAATGCCATTGAAAAATTTCATGGAATTACATTCTAATCTTTGATGATTCGTTGTGTAAATGGATCAAAATGTTAAAGGTTAAATTAAAAATAAATTTGCTTCATTCAAATAATCTATTGGTTTCCAAAGGTTACTTTTTGTCTGACAAAAAATATTCATTCCTAAATGACGACCAAATACAAACACATTTTAGAATTCGTAATGACAGGACATACTTTTTCTACCACTGAGGTCTCTTTTTCCTCTCCACAACTGGATTATTGCTATCCCTTTCAAATACGTTGCAAGTAACCTTCTCGTAGGCTTCTCTGTCTCTCGGCGCATATTTAAACGTTTTAGCTAGGGTTGTCAACATAGTTTCAAACCTGTCTGTCTGTTTCGTTGACTGTCCTGTTGGTCTAATGGTTAGTGACCCTGACTGCTACGACAGAGGTTGTGGGTTCGATTCCCACCCAGGACAAATAATTGTGTGATGAGCACGGTCATTGGACAGTGTGTGAACGGGATCATTTCCTAGGTTTTGTTTGTCCACTGCACAAGCTATCTCACTGATATATATCGGATGTCTGGAGGAGCAATGCCCGCAAGGGGATACAACATGCACAACGGGGTAGGTTCGAGGTAGCCCGTTATGATCAGGCATGTCTCATTCATGGCAACATCAACCTCCTTAGCGTGAGCGGATCTATGCCAGACTCTATGCCCGTACTCTCCGATAGAAAAAGAGAGCGAGAGACCAGAAGTACGGAGGACGTGAGGGGTTGTTCCCTAGAACGATGAGTGTAATGAGTGAGTCGCCGCAGCAAGTTATTCCCGGTCCCAATTCTTTGCTTGTTGTTACAGCAATGTCTTCGGTACGTCAGCGCTTTATCAAGAGTTCTTTATCCCCGTCACAATAACCTCAGAGTTGTGCCCATGTGGGGATCGAACCCACAACATTCAGCGCAGCATTAAGCAGCGCGGCGGCCGCCCAAACCACTACGCCATCCGTGCTGTATAGATGTAGTTCGTTCGTCCCTATGTGAGTCCTTGGTAACTGCTCAACAGGTAACCGGTTTTGGCAAGAGCATTAAAATTAAATTTGATTTTATTGAGCACTAGCTGCACCCAGCGGTTTATCAAATATATTTTAATCCTTACTCATCCCACGGGAGCACTGCATTTTTTGGGGTAAAAAGTAGCTTATCTTTTTTAAATAGTCCAGCCGTTTGAGCGTGAAGAAGTAACAAACATTTAAAAACACACACACACCCAAAAAAAATTAGTGTGATGTTCCACTAGGTATATACCATTATAAAAAGCGCAAATGAAGTTTTGACTCCTAAAATAAAAAAAAAAAACAGAAATGCATCGAAATCAATGGGCTATTTTAAGAATTTTTAATCAATAAAGCCAATACGCTATATTTTATTTTAGCAATAGGATAGGTTAACAAGGAAACCAGACCTACGAGCATAATATGTACGGTTATATATATTTCCCTTTTTCTTCGTATTAAAAGCGGATTCTTAAACAAAGTAAAATATTGACAACCTTAGCGTGACACCCATTCGTGGAAGCAACAACGGCACAAGCGCGGGCGCAAACGGCGCTGCGGTCAATGACACGAGGTCGCGTGCGTTGCGATGCCTGGCTTGGCTGCTACCGGTGAGTTTCGAGCGAGCCACGAGACCACAACACGCTTCCAGCTATCCACACAAGCAACCAGTATTAGCAACGTTACTTGTAAATTCACGTACCTTTTGTTGTATATTTGACATAATTTTAGTAAACTTTAATAATAAAACATTGTAAATGTACAAAAAAAAAAACAGTTATAAGGGGTTTGTCACAGGCTGACTCGATAATTCGCCTGTGACCGTGGCCAAAGCCACCTGGTCGAAACGTCGTGTAATTCATAAGTGTAGAATGCAATATCTATTATTTGATCATATTTATTCCCATCTACATTACACAGTTACATATCATGGACGTAACGGAAAGGAAGTTTAAAATTAGTAAAATTACAAAAATATTATCATAATCATAACCTAAACTCTTAAATAATCCGGTAAGGTCATTAAAAACATTGTATTTGTTGATTCGCTGCTCTTATTATAATTTATATTATGTATTCAAGCAATGGTTGGAACATTTGTGTAAAGAATATATTTTAAGATGTGTTTTTTTTATCTTTAAAGTTATACAGTAAAACCGTTACTTATAGAAAGTTTCCACAGAATAATATTTAGAACATTGCTTCATGTCTTTGATCTGTTAATGAAGTAAGTAACAAAGTTAGATTGCTGAGGGCATTTAAAACATACACTTTATATGCCGGGAGCATTCAATTTACTGAAATAATGAGAATGTAAGCTGCGACCTACGAGTCCTACGACAAAAGAAGTAAGTGACAAGCTCAACCCAATGACGTATGTAATTATGCGTATCAGAAGTTGGTTTCCGTGGAACGTACCAACAAAGGATGTAAATCAACTTATTTTATATTTACAAAACCTTGATCTGCGGAAGAAATTAACACTGACCAGTTTACAATTGCAAATGACATGTGTTCCCGGCAATAATCACGCCAACTGTTCTCTTGAATACACAATACACTAACCTTAAACACACATAAGTTGTTCCCACGACAAAATAATAGATATTTCAAATGCAAATCGATTATGAAGAAATTGAAACTTTTACAGATGTTATGGTCGCTTAAACAATTTGTTTTGGGCATATCATCAGATGTTGAAAAACGAAAATTATGATCAATGTTTACATGACAAGAGCTTCAGAATTAATGGATTCATTATTTACTTAAGTTTCTTTTTATCAAGGTGAACAGATTCATAAGAAACAATTTACAAAAATTTATGCATCACATATTTCGCAACTTTTCAAGAGGTTGGCTTTTTAGTTGAAAGTTTCAAAAAAAATCATGGTATCACTATAACCATTTGTTTTGATATTAAACCTATATAGCTACAACAGATAATTGAAATTATAAAGTACAACAATTTCGTTATCTTTGAGAGAATGATACTCCTTTAACTATTTATTACCTTTTTTTTTGGATTGTGCTTTACTTAAACATTTTTTAAACTTAATTATAAAATAAACAGTCACAAAACAAAATACGTAATTCGTATTAAAGATTTGGATCAATTGAAATTGAAACCAATCTCTAATCTAGTATGAGAAAATTACATCTCAAATGAAATTCAATAACAAATATTGATTAGTTTGTAATTAAGAAGTTTTAATCACAATTTACTTTTAATGTACCTGAAAGATTGAAGTCGGCTCAGTTTGTAAGTTGCCCCCTTCCTTAAATGAGTTTTCATTAAGTCGAGGTCTAGTTACCCCCGTCCGGAAACCGAGATAGACATGATTTATTTCATGAAAAACCGAACGTTTTCATTTGAAAAGGAAATTACTATGAATGCTGATGATTGCTGTATAAAGGATTTGCTAAGAGTGTTTGTGTTTATTTCATAATTAATTTACATCTTATTTATGAAACGGTCTTCTACTTACTTTATGCCGTCAGAATTTTAAACAGTATTTTAAGATTTCTTCAAATAAATTACAAGATTTTAATGAAATATGATTGGTTAGTTTAGAATGATTTCAATTTGGTTATAAAATATATATATAATATATAATCATAAATTTGTGCACAATAACCATAGTGTTTGATAACTACAAAACAAAGATTTAACTTGACTACTTGACTTAATAAATTGGTATTATTGCGAGTCATGATCGGTCATCTGTATTTTCTCAGCCAAATACCTGCTGAAAACATACATCCTCGTCTCCAGCTTGTCTAGCTGCAGCAATCATGAGTACAATTTGTAGTGAGAACTAAAGAAACTCTCCCGTGTGGATATTCTATAACAAAACATACGTTGGCTTTCCAAAAGCAAGTTATATTGGAATAAGGATTTTTGATAAATTATTTTTAAATATTTTTTTCCGAATGGAAGTGTAAATATTTGTCAAACTTTTCAGATCGGATTTCTAAGCTTTTCTAATACCTACTTCTTGTATTAGAAGTAGAAGCCTAATATGAAGTGAACTATTATAAACCAGATGTTAGAGGTGTGTCAGTGTTTTATTAATGACTCAGATATATGTTATATGGAGTAGGTCCCTCCATACATTACTGGATAATTTTAAATATTTTGTTATAAGCGTACTTATAAGCGTAATTATTTTATATTTCGGTACTTGATGAACACAGCAAGTGTTTATAAAACTTTGCAATGTGGGTTGTCACTTACAAGTTACCCATATTTAATTTCTCTCTCAGATCGAGACTAACAATTACATCCGAAACACAACTGTGTAAAATAGTCAAGTTTTATAATTGTACATTTTGGGCACCGGTACCCCATACCAAGTAATCAAAAGAAAACATGCGGTATTTTTCAAATTGTAGCAACTGTAACTTGGTTAAGTGTTTTAGGTGTTTTTATTTTTAGATAATTGAATTTGTTTGTCCAAAACGATTGTATTATAAATGTAAGCTTTAAAATGTTCTTTTATGCATCAAATAATATATTCATTATCTGGCGAAACAGATATCTATTTATCTCTAATTTTAGTTCTAGCAGGCATATAAAATATGGCAACACGGTATAAAGAGAAAAGTATAAACAGGTCATCTATCAATATACAGATGGAAATAATCAAGGGATTGCGATTACAAATCCCACTGTTTGTTCGACCCTTCAATTGTATTAAGCCGACGAATAAACACATAAATACCTTCATTCCTTTTTAATATTACAGAGTGATTTTCTCAATAAGAAATTGAGGATATCCGATCCAGATTTTTCTTATATTCGAAATTCAATTTGTCCTCCCCTTAGTAGTCTCAACTTATATAAATCCAAAAGAATGTTTGTTTTCCTCTCACCACAAATAAAGTCATTTAAAGAATGGGATAGGCCCTAAGGATTAAGGACATTCATAGTTGTGTATTGTATTACTTGTTGTTGTAAAATGACGTTGATAAAGCTTTACTGAGAATCTACTCGTACATAGTTGCGTACCCCCAGCACGTATTTCAAAAAGCTCTATAAAAAGGTTTCTAGATGCGCTTTGTCTATTTATTCCATTAAAAATTTATATTTATTAAATTCCATCATTTATTTTTTATATATAAATGACTAAAAGGTAATATACTATACACACGATCAATTATTATTTATTCAAAAGTGCTCCCACAAATATTGAAATCATATTATTTCGTCGAGTCTAGCAGACTGGGCAAGATTGATCGTTGATCTAATAATGGAGCTAAGAGGTGAATGGTAAAACTCTTTTTCACT